AAGAAGACTCGGAGTCGGAATTATACGCTTTACTCAACTGATAAATCCGGTACTTGAGCTGTGACAGAAAAAAGAGGTTTAAGTATTACGCAATAGAAAAGGGTGTATAAATGAGAGAACCAGTGTATGACATTCATAATCAATGATATACTGTAAGCAGGAGGTATGTGGGGGAACATTAAAGTAAGAACTAATTTGTTAACATATTGGCTGGGGCTGCCCAGCTTGAGTGGACGGAAGCTGTCCAATGAAGCACGAATACTTCTCCCACCGTCCGCAGAAAGCCCCAAATAACCCGCTCCTACGCCCCTCCTGCCCCTCACGGTGTTTATCTGCTTGAGTGACCTCTTCAAGGTCGGTGCGGATGGGAAGCCTAGAGGTGCCCAATCGGTTCGCTTTGTGAGACAGATTTGTCTGGCCTCTACCCATTGACCTTTCAGGCACAATTGGATTTGCGACTGTGAAAAGCCATCCTGTATAGCTCGCAAGGTCATGGAGGCACGCAATCCACCGCACCACGTCAAGGTGCGGGTACCACAAACATCCTCGTTTCAAATGTACAGCTGAGAGCGCAGTTTGCGGTAACTGTGGGAAGTAAGGATATTCCAAGCGGGTCCGCAGATCATTCCCGGAGAAACGGCAAACCTCGGCTACATTGTTGGCGTGCTCAACCACCGTCTCTGCTTTCTCTCCGGCTTGTCTCTTCCATGCGCTAATAAAAATCTCCGCGAATAAGATCCCAATTGAAGTTCTTATAGACAACGGTAGCTCTGAAAGTTACATTTCTAAATCGTTCGTAAAACGACACTGTCTGAAGGTCACGCAATCACTTCGCTTTATCTTGACGGCATCCACGAGACTGGTTTACAATACGAAAAGCCACTACCTAGTCGTCATCGACCTCAAGAACAATGTGTTCGACAATTTCAAACTCTCGATCCTTCCACGTTTGTCTGCGGATCTATTACTGGGGCATGAGTTTTTGAGACTCTTTCAAGCAGTTGAAATTCTGTTTTAGGGTAACATACCATCTCTTTCTCTTCGTAGGGTAACTGCCTTACGCATCGAACCACCATTACCCTTCGGGGACTTGCTATCAGATTGCAAACCCATTGCAACCAAATCGTGCCGTCACACTCCTGATGACGGGAAATTTATCCGATCGGAACTCCGTCAACTTCTTAGGAACGGCATCATTGAGACTTCAACTTTACCCTGGCAAGCACAAGTCCTTGTTATCACAAATGCACAGCACAAGAGACGAATGGTGTTCAGCTACAGTCAAACTATTAATCGTGACACACTGTTGGCATGGATGAAATAGTGTATAAAATATTACAATACGCTGTCTTCAGTGCCTTGGATCTACGAAGTGTATACCACCAAATCGCTATACAAGTAAAAAAAATCCACCATTCACCACCTTGAAGCCTGCGGCAAATAAAAAATAATGTATTTTACTTCCTGTAACAGTTCCGTTGAATACCTTTTGGAGTGACTAACGGTGTCGCTTGCTTCCAGCCGCAATCGAGAAATTCATTCAAAAGGACAACCTATCGGGCATCTTCGCCTACGTCGACGACATTACTAAGTGCAAATTAAACAAAGGATCACGACGAAAATCTAACCGAATTTTTTAACGCTGTTAGAAAATATGGGTTTGCTCTAAACGATGAAAAGTATATAATTGGTACTAAAGAAGTAAAACTCCTGGGTTACGAAGTCGAACATGATTTGATGAGACCGAACCCCGAACGATTGGAAACATTCTAAGAACTCCCACCTCCCAAAGACCCAAAATCGTGATGACAGGCAATCGGTTTATTCTTATAATAATCCCATTAAATTCATTGATTCCCGGACAAGATACATCCCTTGGTACATAACTGCATATTTCCCCTCCCAGAGAACGTCAGAATATCTTTTGAAAGGCTCAAAAGCGAACCGGAACATGCAGTCATCAATACCAAGATAGTACTGGTCGTGGAAACAGATGTCTCGAGCATGCCTATTTCGGCTACCCTCTCACAGAACCGTAGACCGGTTGCTTTCTCCCGAAAGTTATCTCCAAGCGCATGACGTCATTCCTCTGTAGCGAAAGAGACTATTGCCATCGTCGAAGCTATCAGCAAATGGAGACACTATTTGCTCGGCACGCACTTCAGACTGACTATGGATACAAAATCTGTAGCCTTTATGTTCGATTCAAGACGTCACGGTAAAATAAAAGATGAAAAAATTGAGAGATGGAGGATAGAACTAGCATGCTATAGCTTTGATGTTATTTGTCGCCCTGGACATGAAAATGTGTCTCACTAATTTATGCTCCGTTTCCGGTATGCTTTCTTACACCCACTCATATAGGATGTGGTCCTTCATTTCCGAGGGGCTGAAGAATTCCCTTCAGGATAACGACAGTGTCCTCCAGAACAACAGCCTACAATCCTTGCTCAAATGGACAAGCTGAGAGACTTAGCGGGACCCTATGGAGTACTATCGTCCTCGCAGCGCAATCGAGAGGACTCCCTTGTACCAAGTGCGAATCGTTTCTTCCCTAAGTTCTGCACTTCATTCGATCACTACTAGGTACAGCCGTAAATGTGATTCCCCACGAGCGATTATTTATCATCGCATATCTGCATCAGGAGCAACCATACCAAATTGGTTGAATAATCCTGGACCTGTCTTGATGCGTCGCTGTATAAGAATAACAAAAACCGAGCCCCCTGGTTGATGAAGTTGAATTAACCGAATGTAACCCAAAGGACGCCTATATCCTTATACCGCCTAGCTCCCAAAACTCAAGCCACCAATGGCTATACATCCAGAAGCTAACGAATCTTCCATTCCCGGGATGGGATTTTCACCATACAGAGAGTAGAGACTCTGATGCGCCAAACACCACAAACGTTGTTTCACCCCTCATTTAAAACTCAGAACCACACAATACAGAATCCGAGATATATCTGTTAATAAAAGCACAACACACCCACCCATATAATTTAAGAAATCGCGAAGCATAGAACATTTTCAACATACAAAATAATACAGATCAAACCAACCAGCGGGGGTGAATGTTATGTTAAACTCTTGTTTGTTGTTCTATATCACTTTGTACTCGTTCCACTAAATTTTCTCCTCATTCTTTTCAGCTCCTGCCTTTCAGTTTATGTGTTGAATAAAGCTTAGATATTGGGTCTTTGTCTTCTCTCTATTCAACAGCTTCTGTGGTCGTCTACCACATCATTCTGAGAAAAACCTGACTGCAAGGCAGCGGTCATAACAAAGTGGAGACCGATTTACTTGGATCGATTACTCCTCCACCTTTTTACCGACTGAGAAGCTAACTCGAATCGAACCCTCAACCTGGAGGACCGGGAGACTGAACTTTGTCTATCCTCTACCCTTTGACCTTCCAGGTATGGTAAGATCTGATTTGACAAAAGCCATCCTGTGTATTTTGGTGGGTCGGAGAGATAGGTGCACGATCCATCACACCACGTCAAGGTACTGTTTCATCGTGTGCTAGTTATGTTTCAGTAAATATTAAGTTAACATCTAATTAAACCTTAAATTCCTGGCAATGGAAAAGTTGACCGAAATGCCCACTTGATGTCGCTCGATCTGTTTTATTTCTATGGTCTTATTTGTACCGCAGCTCTTTTCGTGCCAATTAGAGGAGAGCAAGATGGCTGACGCGGTATCTGAGCCCATTATTGAGGGGTTTATCTGCCCGAATTGTATGAAGTCCTTCGGCACGGCAGACTTACTAAAGCTCCATTTTGACTCCGATCATCAATATACCACTAAGACGGAAAGCATTGCTAGGAAGAGCGGCACCAATTTGGAAGCCAGAGGTTCAAATTTCGTTAGTTCAAGTCTGGCGTTCTACGATCAAGGAGTTCATTCTCAACCCTTTGGTGAGTTGTCCATTTTGAGATGATCTTTTCCTTCAGGTCAAAGTCGCTCTCTCCTCTCCGAATTTGTTCAACTTCGGAGATGTCGAGTTTCTCGAGATGCCCTTGAAACGAACAATTTATTAATCCGTCTCGAGAAGTTGTTGAGCAACACTTTTAAGTCTCCCACTGAACGCAGAGGTAAAATATAAAATGCCACTTTAATTACATTCGAATATCATAGAATTTGAACAATCTGTTGTTCCCTGGATCGGTGTAAAAATCGATCTTTGTCCATCGTGTGGCCGAGCTTTTGGCCTGGGCATGGAGTTGGCGTATCCGATCTTAGATGAGGAGAAAATGGACAACGCTTCTTTGCGGGCGTCATCCTCTCATTCAAATCGATTGGAGTCGGTTGCTCGGCGAAGCAAGCAAAAATTCACCGAGTTTACGAATGCGATTTTGGACTATAATCCTGTTTTTCGTCGTAGACACCATTGTCGCCTCTGTGGACATGTTCTGTGTGCGGATTGCAGCTTTTTCCTCCCAAAAAGCTCTGGTTTGCATATTCTGGAATTAGTCAATAAAAGCAATATTGTCTCACGTCCGTCTGGTGTTCCCAGTTCTGCGGATGTGGACGAGCAGAAAGAAACACACGAGTCTTTGTTTTTAAATTCCACAGAAGTCAGTCGACCTATCGTAGACCTTGATCGTGACATGAATGGTGAGTTCTTTGATCACAATGCGGACTTCGGACGTCAATTACTGTGCATTTTGTAAATCAATCGAAACCACCGCTCATGGTTATTGCTTATTGAAACTGAAACTGATAGACATTCGTTGTATCTCTATTTTAATATCACAGATATACCAGTAAATCAGTATCTCTTAGATTGCAAAACGGTTGGATTCGAAAAGAACCAAGTTGATACTTCCTTTTTTAACTACGGCAGATACGTAAAGCATCTTTTTTCTTCCAACCGTTTCATCAACACGAGAAGTAGTATATGGGCAGAATTGATAATGACCATCGGTTTTGCGGAGGAAAAGTACCATCTAATGCAATTTCCCGGCAGTTGTTGGACTCTGGTCACCATGTAGACGCACCCAAAGCATGTCGAGTCATTACGAGACCTCGAGGTTCATGGAATTCGCGATTTTTGGAAGGGATAATTATTCATCGCCATAAACCGCACTTGTATTCAGAAACATTTGTGACGCAACTGTTATTGCCGTGGTAGTGGTGATGTCACGCTTGATGCCACCATACCATAGTGTGTCAAATAACCTCTCCTCCCCCTCCCTTTATCATATTCACCACATTGTTTGAACCAGTTCACCTCCCTAACCAAACCCAAATTACGCAACTCACTTATCCACCATCATGTTCAAATAACTCATTTCACCTGCAAAGTTTCTTCGTTTGACGAGATGCTACACATACGGTTTATTGATGTCAACTAGCATATCCCCAGTTTCGATTGATTTGTAGCTTGAAACGAGCATTGGTAAAACATATTTCAAACGGAGATTTTAAAGGTATGAGTATTGAGAGGTCTTGAAGATACTGATGCACCGGTATGTATTGGCTTAAGAGCGTTCACAATGTGATGGCAACAACAGAAAAAAATTAGAAGAGGGGTATCGAGTGCAATCGAGTAAAACGAACGGAAGCAGTTTAGAAGGAACAACAACGTCAGGCATATCAACTCTTTTGTGTTTGTTTCACCTCACAGATTTTTTTGTCTGGCTTGTTTTTGTGAAGCACGGTAATTCATCAGACGTACACCGTTTACGTCACTGATCTCTATCACGACTCTTATTGCTTAGCATCTCTAACCAACATTAATTCTCATCTCTTGGGTTCCGACTTGAGGGCGGGAAGCACCGGCCAAGGCCATCACTGAAGCCAACCTAGCTAAAAAGCTCTGTTCCCTGAGGTGAGTTAATTTTCACCGTTGGCTGTTTCATAAAACGCATTCGCAGAACATCTGCTATGTCAGTTGAAGAGGAATTGGGAAATGGGGCGGCCTTGTCGCACTTTTCTGGAGACGGCTAAAGACAGTGAAGGTCAGTCATATGCCCCAACCCAAGTTAAAGTATGAAGGTGCAACCCTTAGGCGAAGAAAAAAAACATTTTCAGGTACATTCTTTCTCAACAAACTGTTTCATAGGGCAGTCGCATCATTGGAAACCAAGGTCACGCAAATTTCTAAAAAAATTGCCCATTCTTGATCTCGGGATAGTATGATGATGCTTTAACAAGTGATGGAAGATGACGATTTGATCGACAAATGCACGCTCACCGCGAACCGCAGCTCGCTCCTTGCGAGTTTACCCCTCGAAATACTGCTTCGCGTTTTAGCAACTCTGTCATGTATCCACCAGTCTCCTGAAACCGTCAGTTGATGAACTATATGCACATTAGTACATGCTAGAAGTTTACTATAAAAGTTTCGAATACCATAGACATGTTGCACTCCGACTTTATTGACTGTCGATCCCATTCGAGCACCCGATTTCGTTTTCGTATAGTTCATGTTAGAATAAATGTGTATAAAAACTCTCCAGTGCCTCGGCTGATACGTACTCCCAGGGCTGGAAATGAAGCAACCAGGTAATCGCGTACAAAAGTTCATGTGTGAAACTGGTTTTCGATTTTCGATTGTGCGATTTCTAACATTTTACACTCCGCACGTTCAGGAGAGTTTTTCACTGAAATACAATCCTAGAAGCTAACTAAAGTTTTATTGAAAATGTATTTTTTGTTTGGTATCGAGTGAATGGACACTCCAGGCGAAGTGAAATTTAACTGATAAGACGTCTGCTTTATCTCTGTTTTGATGAAAATTTAATCTCACCGGAGATGTCAAAAATTGTTTGTAACCAAAGTAATCAGGGCTAGCCGGATGCTATCGCCTGGTTCAATATCATTATAACTCTACGTTCAAGAATCAGTGAGTAAACGATCGGTACTGTACCAATGGCTTTCTTTCGACCTGCTAATCATCGAAGCTTATGAGATCGATCCGTTTGTACGAAAACCCCTAAGGAACAAGAAAAGCCATCGCTTATATGTATTTCCCATAATAGAATTTTGACTTGCTCTCATTGTCAACCTGTTAGTAGGCATTTTTTTTGTTTTCAACATTTTTTCTCCTGGGCTGTTAACTTATTCGTCGTTCTTCATCCATCGTTTTTGTTGCGGTTTTTCTCTTAAGGTAAACTTTATTCTGTTTCCCTTGGTTTGTATTTGTACCGCATTTCCGGAAAGGATACATCCTTCGTGTATGCAGCGTGTGCAAAGACTTGTTGGAACGTAAACTCGATCATCTCGAAGTTCGATTTCATTCATCCCCATTGGTTCGTATGCATGCAGTAAGTTGTTTCAGTTGTATACCACCTATCTATAATCTTTTTAGTGACTATTCTCACTTTTCAGTGAAAGATCAAAGAGAAGCTCATTACTTACTTTATGTCAACTAACTCCTGGGAGAGGATAAGCCGGCTTTATGGATATTCTGAATTGCAGCTGCCCATGTTCGGCGGTCAGCGGCAAGATCTGATCCGATTGTAATTCAGCCTGACTTTCTTTGGCGATTGCCGTAAACGGAGCTGAAACTAAGGTGTTCTGCATCCTTGTGTACCGTGTCTGACTTAGTTTTCATCTGTCCACCGCATTGATGGCGCCAGTTTGTACAGGGAGACGGTGCTAAGGTAGCTTTGAACAAGTCGTCTGATTTATGAAGTATATGACCAAAGACCTCATTTTTGTAATTTCAGTCATTGGACTAGTCTCGCTAGTTGTTCGTATATGTGACATGGTCACATATATCAGAAGTTAAGCTGGTCTTATTTTTATCGCGTCAACCAAGTTCAGACTCCAGCGCCATTTTGACAGGCCTGAAAAGGGATGCATCCCAAACACACTGTTGGGTTTTCGTGGTAAAGTTTGTCGTTTCGCTGGTATGAGCATCCTCTGTCTTTGCCACCGCTTGTAAATCGTTGTGTATTGTATTGTATTGTGTATAACTTTTGCAAGCACTGGAGTTTACATTTCAGTTAAAAGCATACACGCTAACCGTCGCAATGTACATAATCAACAGGGAGAAAAGTTTTCGCTGGCATGGAGACATTCATAATCCAAGGTTAAGACAAAGTTCACTCATTGTTCGCTCTTTCTGTTTGTGAGTAGACGAGCAAGATACGGTATGGGTGAATTGCGGTATGTATTAATTCGAGATGAAATTTGACGGAATTGGGAGCGTGTTAAATGATGGGAATGACAAAGTGTCAGTTCTGCATGCAATGGGTGGTCCGGATCTGTGAGGATCCTCTCGGCAAATTTCACACTGGAAGTTACGTGATACTCGGAA